GCAAGTATAGCCCTAAAAGGTTTTACAAGCATTTAAAACAAAAAGTAAGAAAATATTAAAATCGATTTGAGTGAATTTGATTTCCTTCAACACTTTAAAAATTAACTGCAACTGAACCTAAAACTAATGTTGACGTAAATGATTTTATGCACGAGTACGATAGTAACTCTACTGTAATGTTATTTTATTCAATAATATACTTAAATCTGGTCAAATTTCTAGAAACTTGGTCAAAAGGTAATATTGTGTCTGTGTTTAAAAAAGGTTATATTAACGATGTTAATAATTACAGAGGCATTACCCTCGTCAGTTGTTAAGGGGAACTTTTAACGACAAACAATATAACAAGAATTCCACGGGAGTGGATGTGTCGCCTGCTCAGCGCTTTAAATGGGATCGATGCGTCAGAATAATAAAAAGGCAAAGCAAACAAAATGAACTGTTATTATAGCAAAGATATTAGCGAACATGCGGGGAAGTTCATCGTTGAGGACAGTCTCGTGAAAAAAGGACCCCTGTAAGCATACATTACGAAAAATGATTTGCTACGCCGCTGCATCTATTCGAAAACTATATGTAATTTTACCATTCCAAGGTGCAGGAAGAACAAAATCAAGATGCTTTAAGAAAACAGGTAACGACATGACGTAGGCAGTGGTAATGAAAATTAAATCCTTTCAAGCTTGTTGGTAATGATAGTACGATCTTGTGTTTCATACAGCATAACGTGAAATAAGCATTTTGTTGAGACTTTATCGTGAAATGCATGTATTACCAGCCACGGCCTAAATTCGTCTGTTTACAATAATCTATTCTTAGATACGGGATTAAATACATGAGGACGCGTCAAAACCGTGCACGTATCTTTGGGGAAATGGGCATAGCAACCCGCCATAGCTCTTTGAAACTCGACAGAAAAACCCGTAATATATGTTGAACATTATTGCTTCTAGCATTACCGTACAAAATAAAGGAATTGATTAAAAAAATAAAAAAAGTTTTGGCAATAAAAGGGGCATAACTCCACCAAAAACTTAAACATAAACTTCAGAAATGCGAGCTTAATCGAGCTTTATTGGTATGCAATATGTGTACCAAGTTTGAGTTGAATCAACCCAAGGGAACTCAAGTTATCGCACGGAAACCTGGCTTCGGACGACGCCGACAAAGTAATACCTAAATGTCGCCTTGCGTTATTTTGCCTTACAAACTTTAATCAGTCGAACTTTGAAAAAGAAGAAAAGATTGAATTGTTGGTTTTATTGATTACACAAAGGCATTTGATGTTATTAATCGCCAAAACTTAGGGTTCAAATTGGTAAAATTAAGAATTGATGGGAAGTTGTTAAATTACTTAGATCGTTGTACAGTTGTGTGAAATGTTGCGTAAAACATAATTGCCTATTATCTGATAATTTCAATTGTAAAAATGGACTGTTTCTATTATTTCCTTTATATGTAAATGATTGTGAAATGCAATTTTTAACTGACAATTGTCCATCGATAAAAATACAAATGTTGAATATGTTATTACTTTTGTACGCCGACGATATGGTAGTTATTTCAAAAATGCCAGAGAGCCTGCATAGAATGTTAAATTCTTAAAAATCTTATACTGCAAATGGAGTCTTACTGTCAATATTAACAATACAATTATTGGTTAGAAATGTTGGTTATCTGCGAAATAAAGAGATTCGGACATATAAAGGCTGTAATTTAGAAATGTAAATTAATTCGATCTCTTTTTTTTTTTTTTTTTTAACTGTTTCTTTTTCACAATTTCTTACCTCCTATTTATGACGTGATTAAAGCATACCTTCACATGCACACACACAAACACATCAACTTTCTCCTCATTGTATTTATTTTTCCATATCGTCATCAACATCATCATCATTAATCTCAGATTGATCTTACATCATCACCCTCATCATCATCATTTTTTTGGAATGCAATTTTTTTTTCATTCCTAAAAAATGACACGAATACGCTTTCGTACTTTCCAGTTAATGCTTTATTTATATTTATGTTTCTGAATGTACTATTAGTCATCTCTGGGTTAGGAGGGTTCTACGGGCTCATAGACCCCGTCTGGTCTTTATAGATCCCGAGCCGAAGGAATTTGTATGAGAAAAAAGTGCTCTTAGTGCAAAGAAGCACCAGGAACAGATCGAGATTCGAACCTATGACCCTACGATTATTACACAGTTGCTCTAACCAACTGTGCTACATGCATGGTCAACAGCAGAACAATGGTCCAGTCGCACTATAGTTAAATCCAAAATGAAATACAGAGGAGGTTACTGTAGATACGAAAAAATACACAAGTTTTGGCAACAGCGACCTGTATCACGGACACCAGCGACCTGTATCACGGACACCAGCGACCAGTATCACGGACACCAGCGACCAGTATCACGGACACCAGCGACCTGTATCACGGACACCAGCGACCTGTATCACGGACACCAGAGTTGATCAGACATGTTGACCATAATGGCATACATATATTTTAAGTATCCTCGAAATCAGATGCAGATGCTTGCATCTTGACAGAAGCATTTGTTAACCTGTACACAACGTTCCTATCTTTGACAATCACAATTACAAGTACAATTGTCAGTCGTATCATCGATACTGAAAATCATTGTTCACAAGGCTGCCGTAACAAACCCGCAGATGGCCAACACCACGGCGACAGTGGAGGAGAAGCAGAAGAACCGAAGCCTTTGATAAGTCAGCCCATGTAAAACCTTTGCTTCCGTCGTCTTCGTATTTATTGCTTGCATCCGGAGGAAAACTATTAGCTGAATACTTCTCCGGGGTCCGTCGATTTACCCAATACAACCCAATACAAACGTCGAGTTACCCAATACAACCCATTACAAACGTCGAGTTACCCAATACAACCCATTACAAACGTCGAGTTACCCAATACAACCCAATACAAACGTCGAGTTACCTAATACAACCCAATACAAGCGCCGATTTACCCAATACAAACATCGATTTACCCAATACAACCCAATACTACCCAATACAGAAAATAAACACCCAATAAATCTGATATACCAAATAAGTATACAATTAAAGTTAAATATATGTAGATCTTAATCGGGCGTACTTGTAAATGTATTTTCATTATTTATGAAGTAAATTACCACGGAAATGATATCCAATAATTTATCGTTGTGATATTGGATAAAATATAGAAAGATGAATTGTTTTTAAGACATTAAAAAATATATGGCTAGGTTTAGAAAAGCATTTCACTAATGTGTTAATAAATCATTGTTTTTCGTTATTGTCCTATCTTCCACCCATAACTTCAACATATTAATGAAATTAAAATAATTGGATACCGGTATCTATAGGAAAAGACTTACATGTATATAGGCTAAGCCTGTTGTCTGGTCCCTTTGTTAATACATGTATTGTTATATTTCTTCTATAATAATTGTATTTATCTTTGTTTGTATTAACAATGAAATATTTTGAAATGAAATAGATTGAATCAAGGATTTCCAAATAACGACGATCTTGCCAAAAAATAACCGGGTCCGCACAACACCGTTACTTGTATTTGGTACATTTAACTTTATATTGGATAGAATTTGGTAAATCGATACTTGTATTGGGTAGTATTGGGTTGTATTGGGTAGTATTGGGTTGTATTGGGTAAATCGACACTTGTATTGGGTAGTATTGGGTTGTATTGGGTAAATCGGCACTTGGATAGTAGTGGGCTGTATTGGGTAAATCGGCACTTGTATTGGATAGTATTGGGTTGTATTTGGCAAATCGACACTTATATTGGGTAGTATTGGGTTGTATTGGGTAAATTGAAACTTGTATTGGGTAGTATTGGTTTGTTTTTGGTAAATCGACACTTATATTGGAAAGTATTGGGTTGTATTAGGTAAATCGACACTTGTATTGGGTAGTATTGGGTAAATCGACACTTGCATTGGGTAGTATTGGGTTGTATTGGGTAAATCGACAATTGTATTGGGTGGTATTGGGTTGTTTTTGGTAAATCGACACTTATATTGGGAAGTATTGGGTTGTATTAGGTAAATCGACACTTGTATTGGGTAGTATTGGGTTGTATTGGGTAAATCGGCACTTGTATTGGGTAGTATTGGGTAAATCGACACTTGTATTGGGTAGTATTGGGTTGTATTGGGTAAATTGAAACTTGTATTGGGTAGTATTGGGTTGTTTTTGGTAAATCCACACTTATATTGGGTAGTATTGGGTTGTATTGGGTAAATCGACACTTGAATTTGGTAGTATTGGGTTGTACTGGGTAAATCGACACTTGTATTGGGTAGTATTGGGTTGTTTTTGGTAAATCGACACTTATATTGGGTAGTATTGGGTTGTATTGGGTAAATCGACACTTGTATTGGGTAGTATTGGGTTGTATTGGGTAAATCGACACTTGTATTGGGTAATATTGGGTTGAATAGGGTAAATCGACGCGCCGCTTCTCCGCGTCAATAAGGTTTGGGCAAGAGTGGACGCTTTTGATGACGTTTTCGTATTCTCATTTTCCGTTGCTGGTTGCACCCGTCTCATAGATAAAATAGACAGCTTTCTCTCCTGATCTTGATGACACGGCGTTAGCTCGGAGGCAGGCGATGATGCAGGCGAAACTGGACAGCGGTCAACATAACGATTGTAGGCTGATCATATACACTGCCAGGTATGTTGTGGTCCAAGCGTTGACCGGTAGAGAAGAACTGACGATGGTGAGAAATACGGCAAATGGACAGTCATACTGTACCCCATTTTCTCTCCACTGTTAACAGGAACGACGAATGTGAAAATGGCAAGAACAGACAGTAATATGATTGGACAAATGAGGGTAAGCAAATAAAACTCAGGTCGGCGGTGCAGATTCAGAGAGACGTCACCATAAGCTAGCTCGATTTCTGTTGAGCTGAGGTCCCAAACCCCGTTGGGTTCGTATGACTTCGTATTGAGTGCCGGATCCTTTAACGCGATGTCCACATCCTAAATATCAGCTTGCAATTTTGATGGTCAAAGGAACATTTTATTATGTCTATGTCACAATTGGTCTCAAATACCTCGAATGGTTTCCACTCTATTCTTCCACGATTCTGAGGCACGTTAAAGTCCGAGATGTCGTGAAAGTCATTTTTGTTCCATGACAGGAATGCGTCGCTCCATTCTAGCTCAAGATCTGCCGTGGTGGCTAATTTCCCCTCCACCTCATCCAGTTGATTGATTCCTTTTAGATAGAATGCAACAAGTATCATTATAGACTGGTTTAGGGTTTTATAAGGCGGGATGACATTCCGATAGGAACGAGTAATGAACATCTCTTCGTGTAGTGTCTTAAGGTCATCACCCGTCTGGGCAACAGTGGCATGTACCATTGACACTAGCGCCGATAGAACTTGTAACGTCTGTTGGTTGGCCATCGTGACAATGCTACGTCTTTATTTGAAGAGTAACGTACTCCAAAATGTCGACGGATTCATGATTACAAAGATATTTTATTTTCAAATGTGGTTTGCGTCAAACTATAGATATACATTCCACTCGTTTTTTCAAATCATTGTTTAAGATAACAAGGCTCAAACGATTAGCTTAAAATTCCACTACATGGTAAATATTATCAACTAAAATGAGGCTTTCAGAGCCTTAACCCATATGCACAGAGAGAGGAAGCACATTTGATGAGTTCAGTATCAATTCGATCAGGTGTAGGATCTAGAGGGATCAGCGATGATAAAAAACATTAATAACGAATCCCAAATATTCCGTTGTATTTTGTATAAGGGTAGAAACAAGGGACATGTACAGCTGCCAGTGAAACCTATGCTGTCTTTTCGTGTTTTTTGTTTGTATCGTCGGCGACCAGCTAGCTCAATCGGTAGAGCATCCGTCTAAGAGTTCGGAGGGTCCCGGGTTCGAACCCCTTTCTGGCCGTGCATTTTCCGTCTCTTGTTACATTTGCATATATTTAACATCAATGTGGATACTATGTACCTCTGATAAGAAATGATTTCTAACAAATAATAACATATGACAGCATCTGGTAATGTCATTTCAGTTCTCAAAATTGATCTATGCTTTGAGTATATAGGAGTTGCATACACACATTTCATTGGTCAATCATTGTGACCAATCATATGTTAATCACATGTGATTGCTAAAACAACATGTTTGTGCAATACACACGGCTAGTTACTCGTACTCGAAAGAGAGAGCACAGCACACCTGTGCTATATTCGTTGCACTGGTTACCTGTACGATACAGGTCGCAATACAAAATTCTGGTGTACACATACAAGGCACTGAATGGAACAGCTCCTCAGTACCTACAGGAGCTTGTTACCCTGTATCAGCCGTCACGATCACTGCGGTCGGAGTCAGAATCTTTGTTGTGTGTCCCTAAATCTCGTACTGTGACCTACGGAAACAGATGCTTTAGGAGGGTTTCGGCTACCATGTGGAATAGCTTACCATCTGCAATTAGAAAGTCAACTACCCTGGCCAAGTTCAAGAGGGACATCAAAACTCACCTCTTCACGTCTGCATTTTAGATTTCTTTGCAAAGACGTCATGTAAATACCACCCCTTTATTGTGTTCAATTATGTGCACATTGCTTGGTTAAATGTATAAAAGTGATGGTTAGCCTTTGTTTTTTGTTTTCACAATTATAACCATGCTGTAAAGCGCTTTAGAGTAATTTTACAAATTATATAGGGCGCTATATAAATGTTGTATATTATTATTATTATTATTATTATTGTTGTTTAGGAAAACCATGATTGCGCAATCATGTAACAAAATGGCCACCATGACTGCCATGTTGAAGTTTTGACGGGGCTGAAAAATAACAACACTTTGTCGGCTTCATTTCCTTTACATCCCCACCAATTTTTGGCTCAATGGCACCAGTGGAACTGTAAAAGAAGTTTAAAATGTGTTTATTAAGATGGCGGCCATGGCTGCCATCTAGGATTTTGGACCGACCCGAAAAATAACAACACTTGGTCAGGACCGTCTCAGGATCATTTTAGGCAAGTTTCAGCTAAATCCCATTGGTGAAACTTGAGAAGTTTAAATTTTGAAAGTTTACGGACGGCGCACGGCAGACGGCGGACGACGAATGATGCACGATGACTAGAGCTGTTGGAGAACAGCATAGCTAGCCTATATATGTTATTATAATACTGCAACTATCAATAGAAACAAATGTAGAGTAAAACGCTGATATAGTGGCTGTCATTTTATTTGCCACCTCACTTACCACCAGCATATTTCAAGGACCGTTAATTGTGTAAAAACGTCTATGTGAAGTGATTGTTAAGAAATTAACAAAGTCCAATAAAGCTGTTTTTGGACGCTAAAATATGAATATATGGTTCAACACATTGCTTACACTCAATACAAATATTGCAACCTTATAATATAGACAACAGCCTATTGATAGTGGTGGTCCAACACTACCCAAAATAACTTGCCCAAAAACTTTAATTTGACGCTCGCCATAAATCTTTAACCAAGTCCAATGAAGCTGTTTTTTGGTCCCTAGAATATGAAAATATTGTCCAGAACATTGCTAACACTCCATATAAATACTTCAACCTTATAATAGACAATAGCCTATTGATGGTGGTTGTCCAACACTTCACAAAAAAACTTGCCCAAAAACTTTAACCTCAAATTTTATTTTATCTAAGTCCAATTAAGCTGTTTTTGGCCCCTGAAATCTGAAAATATGGTCCAGCACATTGCTTACACTCGATATAAATGACTAAAACTCATAATAGACAACTGTGTATTGAGTGTGATGATCCAACACTGTCTGGAAACAAGAGGCCCAACGGCCTTAACGGTCACCCGAGTCCTAGAGTATCAAATTTTGTTGTTGAAATATGAAGTGGAGATAATGATGTTAATCATCCTTACCAAAATTTGAGTAAAAAAGAGTTATGTATAACTTTAAGTTAAGTTTGTCAGGACAATGAGTTGATCATTCCTAGACAGAGTTTCAGTTAATTCGGCCTATTAGAACTTGATTTAAGTTTCAAATAGGTGTTTTTTTTCAAAATAGCAGCCATGGCGGCCGTATTAGAATTTTGATGGACCTAAAAAAAACATTTTGCCAGGACTATGAGTTGATCATTCCTACCAAGTTTCAGTTAAATGGGGCGGCCCAGTAGAACTTGACTTTAAGTTTGAAATAGTTTTTCAAAATGGTGACCATATTGGATTTCTGATTGACCCCAAAATTAACAACACTTTGTCAAGAACATAAGTTGATCTTTCCTACCAAGTTTCAGTTAAATTGGCCCAGAAGAACTTGACTTTGAGTCTGAAATAGTTTTTCAAAATGGCAGCCATGGTGGCCATATTGGATTTCTGATCGACCCAAAAAATAACAACACTTTGTCAGGAACATAAGTTGATCATTCCTACCAAGTTTCAGTTAAATCAGCCCA